ACCCTAGATCTGCATATAGTGGGTGCGGTGGCAACCACGAAAGAGCTGAATGCAGATTTAGGCAAGCCCTCTGCCAATGATGTGTCAGGAAGGGCCACATCGCCAGGGTGTGCCGAGCCGCACAGACGATGTCCTCCGCAGACTTCCCAGGTGACAGGTCGAGGCAGTTCCGGGGCAGAAAAGACAGCCCCAAGAAGCCCAGGGTGGATTGCCATGCCATCCTCCGGCATGCCGTGCACAGTGACCGGGCCAACTGGCAGTCGTGCCATAGCCTACAAAAGAAGATCCAGCTAACTGTCACCATTGAGGGAAGCCCGTGTGTGATGGAACTGGATACCGGCTCCGCGACCTCTATAGTCTCCTGGAGCACCATCAAATGCCTCATTCCACATCTTTCCAAGCGCCAATTACAGAGTTGCAACTTGACTCTCAAAGACTATCAGGGCAACCTGATCCCAGTAATTGGCGCCAGAAAAGTGAGAGTGCAATTCAAGGGGTTTGACGGATGGTTACCCCTCATCATAGTCGAAGGAAAGCTGCCCAGCCTTCTTGGCCTCGACTGGTTCCAGTCCCTCGGGCTGCAAATCAGCGGCATCCATCACCTTGGCACCTCTGACCTAGACTGCCTCGTCAACGAATTCCCTGCTGTATTCGATGGAAAGCTGGGCCAATACACTGGCACCCCAGTCTCCTTCAACCTTGACCCTTCTGTGCCACCTGTCAGGATGAAGCCACGCAGGGTGCCGATCGCCCTCAAGCCAAAAGTGGACGCGGAGCTTGACAAGTTCGTGGCTCAAGGGGTCCTAGAGCCTGTGGACCATGCGTGGTGGGAAACCCCCATCGTGCTGCCAATCAAGCCAGATGGCAGCATCCGAATTTGCGCCGACTACCGCTGCTCCATCAACCACGCTCTACCTTCCAACGCATACCCGGTGCCGGTAGTCCAACACCTCCTCCACACGTTGGGCGAGGGGTTCATCTTCGCAAAGCTGGACCTCGCCCAAGCCTACCAGCAGCTGGTAGTCGACGATGCTGCAGCTGAAATGCAAACCATCATCACTCACCGGGGCGCCTTCAGGTGCCGCCGGCTGCAGTTTGGGGTCAGCATCGCCCCAGGACTCTTTCAAAGTTTAATGCTCCAAGGACTTTGAGGCGTCGTCCTGTACTTTGATGATGTCCTCATCTCTGTGGCCACCCATGAGGAACTCATGGCACAACTACGAGCGGTGCTGCACAAGTTCCAGCAAGTCGGGCTTAAAGTCAGGTGGGACAAATGCCAAATTGCTGTCCCCCAGATAGAGTTCTTGGGGTTCCTAGTCGATGCCCGCGGTATTCACCCGACTGCTGCCAAGACTAAAGCCATCGTGGAGGCTCCTCCTCCAACAAACAGAGCTGAACTACAGGCCTTTTTAAGTCTCCTGAACTTTTATGCAATCTTCCTGCCTCACAAAGCCTCTGTCACCAAGCCTCTCCACCGTCTCTTGGACTCTAGTGCAACCAAAAAATTTTTAAAGACTCTTTGGATTAAAATAAATTAGTTTATAATAATTT